TCCGCCGTGCCGTTTTCCAGCTGGTATTTGCTCGACGGGGAAATTGTCTGGGGTACATTTCCATGTACATCCTTTGAGATGAAAAAACAGCGGATGGCGGAGCGCAGACTGGAAAAGTTTCATGCCCACTTTATGAGCCCGTTGTTAGGTCGGCAAATCTCGCTGACAAAGGACCCTTTGTGCAAGGGATGCCTTGCATAATGCTAAGATGTTTCCTTGAAAACCGCATCGCACCGCGCCCCGTTCGATTCGTAATTCCGTTCGTTTATTTAGAGCCGAGTAAAATAGAGAGGAAGACGAAGAAGAAGAAGACGAAGAAGAAGGAGAAGGTCAGAGTCACGACGTTTGATGCATCGCGGCCTTTTTACGCGCGACTCTATTGCAGTTTGCGGGGAGGCCAGTTGTTCGCTCGATCGCTTCTTTTTCTCTCCGGTGCATCGGTTCTTCCGCTCGAGGTACGTCTTTGATGCCTATTTAAAGGCATTCCCGGGTTAAATGATAAAGCTCGAAAGTTGAGTTTCGTGACATGGTTTTTACGTGGAGGGCAAACTTCCCTGTTCAATTGTTTGGCGACTCGAGCGCCGTTGCGTTTAATTCCTCGGTACCGACCAACAAAGAATCTTTCTTCACAGAGCCCTGTGCTCGCTTAGCTGGAAACGAAGAGTTCCAGCGCGTTTCGTTCTTGTTGTTCGGCCTTTTCGCTCGGCAAAGGTCGTTCGGCTCTCGTCTTTTTTTTCTTTCTTTCCCCGCCCTATTCTCTCGTCGGATTTGTACGTCATCTTCGAATTAATTGGATTTCCTTTACGTAGCTGCGTCGAACCGGAACCGCTCGTCGATTTAATCGCTCGGAGCAACGAACTAATTCGTCGAAAAAACAAAGCACCGAGTTTGCCTCGCTTGAACTGAGTGCAGCGATTGTACAGTCACGATATGTGCTTAACTAATATACTCCGATGAACTGATAAAATTGGTTTTCCTTTCTGTGGCAATGTCCTATAAATAGTAACTGCAATTTTCTCATATTTTATGACCAACAAATGCGTGCAATTTGTTAAATTGCGTTCAGTGTAAGAACGATGTTAGGACAAAGTGGTATTTGGCGAATGGTAATTAAAAATGTGTAACGTTAGAATCTTTATCCTGAACTAATTCTATCCTAACTAATATACTCCGACGAACTGATAAAATTAGTTTTCTTTCCTGTGTCACTGTCCTATAAATAGTAACTGCAATTCTCTCATATTTTATGACCAACAAATGCGTGCAATTTGTTAAACTACGTTCAGTGTAAGAACGATGTTAGGACAAAGTGGTATTTGGCGAATGGCAATTAAAAATGTGTAAGGTTAGAATCTTTATCCTGAATTAAAGTGGTGTTGAAGATCTTCATGGTAATTTCTGACCATTTTCATTCAGCACAAACAAATCATTCTGAACGTGTGAAGTTATTCGTTAGTATATAGTAGCTGATTTACATGTAATGTCAAAAAATTGTTTTCCTTTCATCTACTCCTTATCTCCATACGATCGTGAAGCATGTCAGAGCAGATCAAATAACACGATGTTATTTAACAAACTGCTGAAGTATTTTCCTTTTATTCCAACTCATCACAATCAAGTATAATTTTCAATTATATTTAATAGACATTTTTGATCACGAAGATCGTCAATGTCAGTATTTTTCCCGAAAGAAAAATAAGTCACGTCCTGTAGTACGAAATGAAATGCGTGTCAAGAACTAATTGTATATTTTAAAGAAAATTCAATGATATCGCGCAGAAAGACCAAATAACTGCGCAAGCATTAAAAATTGACAATCCAATTGTATAAATGAACTAAACCAAAATGGAACACAAAGTCAGACTTATCTAGTTTAAGCTGCTGTAAGCAGAAATGTTCGCAATAAAGACAACACTGAGTCCGCTACTCTAATTACAATAATTTCTTCCAGAAATGTTTGGTGGTCGAAATTAAAACCGGCTAATCTGAGAATATTGAGACGCGATTCTTCGAACCTCGCGGCCGTTTTTATAGGAACTCGGGCCGATCGGCAAGAAAAGTAATAAAAGAATACATAGTAATGCTAGAATAAAAATGATGACTTAACCTTCTTATTTCTAATTTTTTGTCATGATTCAAAGGCAATTCGAAAGCCACATGCCATGATTCGAATACAATTCGGAGGGCACATGTCATTATTTGAAGGCAATTCGGAGGTTACATGCCACTATTCGAAGGCAATTCGGAGGCCACATGCCACGATTCGAATACAATCGGAAGCCACATGTCATTATTTGAAGGCAATTCGGTTACATGCCACTATTCGAAGGCAATTCGGAGGCCACATGCCGCGATTCGACGCAAATTGGTCACGTATCTTGTAGTTCCGCGGTCTTTTCGGAGACAAACTTTTTTCACCCGGACAGATAATTTTGTATTGTTTTCCAGGAATTCGAATCAAAAGAGCCGCGGCGCGTGTCGCATAAGACGCTTGACTAACTCCGACGAATATTTCTAATTTTTTGTCATGATTCAAAGGCAATTCGGAAGCCACATGCCACGATTCGAATACAATTCGGAGGGCACATGTCAATATTTGAAGGCAATTCAGAGGTTACATGCCACGATTCAACGGTCACGTACTTTGTATAGTAATTTCTTCCTAATTCCTCGCGGAATTTTCTCGTTGTTGACAATCGATAACTATAAAAACCGAAAGGCTCAAATAATCAAAATTGTCCATTTTTATGAGCAACCTCAGCGTCAATTAGATAGAATTTACTGTACTTATTCACCTGGTAACATCATTGTCAGAAAAATTGTAATGAACTTGGGCCCCTTCATTATTAATATATATGCAACGACAATTGATTCTAATTTTTTATTTATTTACTTTCATGTCAATAATAACGCAATAAACATTATCGATTTGTGAGACCCATAATAGCGACTGCTTAAGAAGTTCCAATAGACGTAGTCGTTAATGGCACATAATGAGGGAACGTCGGGGTCTAATAAAATTTGTGCAGCATTGTAAAACAAGGTTGACAGCACCGAAGTATTTTATGGAGGATTTCTGAATGCCGGCAGGGTTGAACAGTACTTCTGATTCCGATCGATTAGTTTCGGGAGAGTGCGCAAATATTTCGCCGGAGCGCAGATCAACCGGTTCGTATTAAAATCAAAGAGCTCCTTCCGTTTCCATGGATCCGGATGGCTCCTGGTATCGTTCCTATTATAAATCCTCTTTATTCGGGAGCGGGGCGCAGGCAGGAGATCTTCCGTAAATACGGGTAAACTCGACATAAGGAAACGATTTCCATTTGAATCGGACGGAACTTATATTCAGCGAGGAGGATCGAGGACAATCCTCGGAACGGCGATGTGCTCCGCGATTTTATATATCACCATTGATAAAGCGCTTTCTCCCCTGTCTAACGTTCACGATGTTATTTCCCCTTCCACCGGCGACGGGATCCGGACAAGTTGAATTGCATTGAAACAGAGCATTACCTCGTATCGGGGGACACTCTCTAGTCGCGTGGAAAGGAAACATGAAGCGTTCGTGGAAAAAAAAAGAGAACCGGGAAACCGGGTGAAAATAGTCTGGACTCGATCCGAGCGACCGAAAGCGGATCCTTTGTTTTGCCCGTGTTGCGTGCGACTTAATCGAAAACGTCCGACTGACAGATATATAATAAGCCGTTGTCAATTACCGTGTATCAATTTATAGGAGCGGGATTTTCGGGTTTATTTTTCAGTGATTGACAGTCGGTAGCCGAGCTGTCGGAATCGCGCGGAGGGGCGAGCGGGGAGGCCGCAGTTGAAAAGAGGGTGCAGTTGGAATCAGTCGGACCGGTCACGTCAAATCGTGTACGAAAGGCGAGGAATTGCAAAAAGACACGCGCCCGTCCCGAAACGATTTTGCGTCACATGCAGACATTTTTCGTTCTAAGCTTGGCTCGATGCGTCAGGCCAATTTGTTACCTGGCCCCCTTAGTTCGCGATACGCGATGGTTTTTGTATACCACCGATCAAAAGTACAGCGCACTGTGCAACTATATCGTCGATTTCACTGATAGATGGATTTTACGTATTCGCTAGATACAGCTAGTCTAAAAATACTGATCTGGCTAATTTACCACATTGGTTACGGTTAATTAATTATTTACTGGAGATTATCGACTGGAACGTGTCGAATGAAATCAGATATTACATGGATTGCTGAATTATAACTGCAAAATTATACTCAATGTCAGCAGTAAAATTATGAATAAAGTCTTCATCAAAATATATTGTATACAGTAAATCTGATTTTTAATCTATATTTATAAGAATCTCATCGATCTTCATCCACATTTTAGTTTTTCGTGAGTGATAATACAAAGAGGGAAAAGAATGAAAAGAGTAAAAATAAGAAAAAAACGTCGTATAAACATAGACTCAAAAATGCTCTATTAAAAAGATTGTAACAGAAATACGAAATAACAACAAACTGATTTTCGTTCCATGTAGAAGTCTGTCTTTATTTTTCTAAGCTATGTTTATTAACTCGTACAATTTTTTGTAGATATGTAGATAAATATTCTCAATTAGTCCGTTATTATTTCGTATTTTTCTTCAATTTTTTAATAAAGCATTTTTGAAGTACGAAACTCGCGAGCTAAAATCTGAAAGTAGTGCCGCGTTGTTATGAATCCAGAACTAAGATCTGCGGACGGCATAGTGTTAATATACACTTGACCACCACCAGTGTCGATTTTCGTTCGTTTCACGCGTCCCGAATGAAACTAACGCGAAACTTTTGACCGGGAGTGTATGTACGTTTTATCGTTCTCTGCTTCAGACTGCCGTGTTGGAACGGTTCGACAAAGATTGTGCAGTATATCATGCAAGAATTACACGTTCCGCGTATCCAGCCTTTCTTTGGGAAAGAATCCAATATATTCTTGTCGACCGGCTCGTAGCTTGAATAAAAACGATCGGTCCCGCTTACTCACCGGAGTCAAAGGTCACCTCGCTGATCATGATCCACCTGTCCGAGAAGTGGAGTCTCAACTTGACGTATTTACCGACTCGATGATGGAGCTTGATGGTAATGTTCCGTGATGTCTCGAATATCTTATCCTCCATGTAAGTGTACGTGATCGGCTCTCCCGTGTAGTATTTTCCACCGATGCTGAATAGTATGTCGACTTGCGAAAATACCTGTAACACATGATTGAATGTTGTTTCAGTTAACCTTACACCTGGCAACATTAGTGTCTAACGCTAACGCGTTCTCCGCTGAATTTCTGAGATACTACCGCGGCGTTCTCGTGTACGCAGAAACTGTGCTGTTCGTAGACAAATGGCAGCAAATTTGCAATTATGAACCTAAAAGATTCGCCGGAGATGTACAAGCAATTATATGTATTATTCGTAAATGAAAATGTGGGAGTAACAAAAGGGTCAATGACCGTACAAATTTAATTCAGCCGAATTTAAATTGAATTTGATTAGAAAAATGGCAGCAAATTTGCAATTATGAACCTAAAAGATTCGCCGGAGATGTATAATACAAGCAATTATATGTATGATTCGTAAATGAAAATGTGGGAATAACAAATGGGTCAATGACCGTACAAATTTAATTCAGCCGAATTTAAATTGAATTTGATTACTAGACTGCGGGTATACGTGCAAAATAGAACTCGTCTGCGTTAATTGTACAAAATCAGAGTTAAAGAAAAACATATCCTTCCATCTAGTAGCTCTATTAAAGCGAAAGTAGTGCGTGACTTCAAAATTTCTCCGTTCTTGCCTCGAACGCATAAAATTCGCGATCGAATGATTACCGATTAATGATTAATTGCCGAGCTTTAAGAAACACACAGCGAGAAAGATGAACAGTATTCCTGAATTTCGTTCGAATGAAACGTTACTGTTGATATATAAATAGCGCTGGAAAACTGATAAAAGAATCATAGCGTGATAAATGAACGTTACGGATGGCTTGGCGCGGAGGTGGGAGAAAACAGAGTTAAATTCTACTCGCGATAGCTTCTAAGATCAAGAATTTGCATATTATGATAAAAAGGAGGGAAATAAATATCCATTCTTATTATACTTGTGGCAAGCCGGAGAGATTGATCGCGGTAGCCTTAAAACACATTGGAAAACCTAAATAAGCTTGCCCCGTGGATGAAATAAAACAGACATAGACGAAGTATGACGTTGATGGATAGAGCCGATTTGAAAGCCAGCCTCGTCGAAGAAGATTCCGGGAATAATGTAAAATCGGTTGGAGTGTAAGAGAGAATAGGAGTCGCGTGATTGCTCTCAGGACCTTATAAAAGTTTCACGCGTTCCCCGAAGCTTGGCATGGCGCGCTTGATCAGATCATAGATCACAGACATTGTCCAAGCTTTATTTAGATCAGGGGTGTCAAACTCAAAAGCTAACTTGAGCCATAATAATAAATAAACAATGCTTAACTTTAAGTGGGCGGCAAAAAAAATCAATGTTCATAGAAACAAATATTTTTATTTTGACTATAGTAAGTTAAATTACTGTTTACGTCCTGATACTTGACATCAAAATCGTTTACGTTCGTACTTGTCGGTCGGTCACGGTTTCCGTATTTCACGACACCGATCCCCAATTTTCTCTGCAGTTATAAATGCGGCAAATCGAGGTGTCACAGAAATAATTCTGGGCCCCGTTCGAATCAACGGCGAACCTTGTTAAACTCCAGAGACATCGATGCACGAACGTCAGATATATAAGTCACAGATAACATAAATGACATCTGTCTAGAAGTTAATAATGCAGATAATATTGGAAACCAAAATTGCCAATATCAGGCTAATGACGCACGGTACAGGCTGCATACTGTTTACGCAACATTTATACTGCAGCGTAAATGATTTGGTGGATCTAAAAAGAGATAGAGGCGGGGTATCGTTGATTCGGTGGAACATGCGTCTATTTTATCAGGTGCGCTCAAACGCATAGAAATTTTGCAGTATTTAGAATATATAGAAACGCATATATGTATATAGAATTTGCTCAAACTAGACGATGTTCGCGTGATAGAATGCTTTAGTTGAGAAATAATTGAGCGAGAAATATTGGGTTGGCAACTAAGTAATTGCCGATTTCAGTTATAGATGTCTCTCACTCCCATTTTTATGATATCCGTAAATGTTATATTATAACTCCCTAATTCGCTCTTAGATCGCGCACAAAAATGGATAATTTGGGAAGAAGAGATACGAATGTTCGAACCTTGCGACTCGTTTTTACAGTGACCGTTTGTCAGCAACTATAAAAACGAGACGCGAGGCGCGAATAATCGCATCTCCTCTTCCCAAATTGTCCATTTTTCTGTGCAATTTGAGCGCGAATTAGGGAGAAATTATTGTATTGGGTTGGCAACTAAGTAATCACCGATGTCAGTTATAGATGTCTCTCACTCCCATTTTTATGATATCCGTAAATGTTACATTGTAAAATTATTATTATTATTATGTTATTTTTTATTATCCGTGAATGTTAGCAACTGGACAAAGTTGTCACAGTGATGGCAAAAGGTCATCGAACAAACTGGAAAATACATTACAGATTAAACTTCGTTCCAAGTAAAAACAAATTTTTTATTTCATTGAACAAATCGGCAATTACTTAGTTGCCAACCCAATAATTAAAATAAATATTTGATCATACAACAAATAAAATGAAAAATTATTTCAAATAGATTGCATAATCCTCGAGCGTATTTTAAAATTTATATATATATTTTTGTGTCTTACGACACGCACAGATGTTTTAAATTTGCACAGATTCCGGTTTATACAGAACACAGTTTGTTGATTGTTAATTGATCCAAATACACTGCATATTTACTCGAGAACCAGTAGCCACGACTTTTAATATCCTCTAAAATGATCTAACATTCAAGGATCCCCAGTCCCACAGCTTTGATCCATTAAATTTAAACAACCTTGACACGACATTCGCGAGTTTGAACAAGTTCTCCAGAATCTAGACTTGCTAATAAAATTACCGATGTAACGATTCAATCGAATATGGTCTCGACTAAGTTTCAAGTACCCAGGTATTCGAACAGGTATCCGTCGGTGTCCCTATCGCTTTAAGTAGTTCCAGTCTAGATTCTTGGAGTTCGAACCGGTATAACGATGGCACGACGTTTCTATTGGAATCTAAGAGATCTATGCGCGTCGTTAGTGCTAGACCCCGGGAAATCAATACATACCGCGAGTACCAGGATGCCTATTCGGTGTCCATTAAGTGGAGATTAATTGTATCGGATCCGATGATTCACAGATCAAACGACTGTGTACAACACGGTAATCGCTTGAAACGATTCAAACGATCCAGGAACCAGCCACGTCGAACCCAAAAATAAGCTCGATCCGAGACAATCCGAATCGACGCGCACACCCCCAATTCCGACAAACAATGCGAGATCTTCTTCGCACAGATCCGATGGCCGGCTATCAAATTATCCGGCAAAAGAAAACTTCCCCTCGGTGAGCGAGGCACTGGCCGAGAGTCGATAACGTCATTGCGACAACCGCGGAGCAACATCTGGAGCGGATCTGGCGGCGCCGAGTCGGCCTTCAAAAGATTTCGTTATCGTAACTCGCGTCATGTAAATCCAATTACGAAAGATTCGTCCCGAGCCCGCCGGGACTCGGAAACGATATCCCGGTGACGGTCGAGGCGTTTATCCGATGATATGGGTATTGATGTCCCGGTGCATTTGTCAGTGTGTGGGTGGTGGGTCGTCATAAAACTCGTTTGCTTCTCCCTCGTTTCTCGGCGTGTCGATAGCGACAGTCCGCCGCCCGGCAGGGCATATTCAATCGAAGCTCGGGGACAGGTGTACGGCGAAGGTGTGTGTTCGCACACAGAGACACGCGCGCGCGCACAGAGCGCGTAGAAAACCGTGCGCGAGTGCCCACCAGGAATCAGACACGCGGAACGGAACCGTTCTGCTTATCCGATATAATATGCCTGATGAAGCGCAATAGCTGATCTGGAAGTAAATCCCCCTTTTTTCTTCCCCGGCACGGCTCAACGGAGAGAAATGGAGAGTTTCGGGGCGGAGCCGTGCTCTGCGAGAGCGAGACGTTTTTATTTTCTCCCTCCGAGCATAGTTTCACCGCAACGTCGCCGTGGCAGTCCCAGTGCAAATAGATCCTTGCCCCTCAAAGAGCAACGTTACTTCGTTCCATCGGGCAACGACGCAACAAGCCCCGTCGCGTGTGTGTGCAAACGTTTTAAAAGGTTTCGCGTTTTTCGCGTCGCCGCTCCGTTTTCATGCGACGCATCAGCGCACCCGTTCTTTCGTGCCGATTACCTTCGCGCCGGTTTACCCTTTCAATCGCGACCCGGTATACAGAAACGAGGCAATTAGCAGCGTCGACGTGTGTCGCTTTAAGTGCGACGCCTTTAGTCGCACCTATCTCCGCAGCCTCGTTTAAAAACTCACGATTCGCGTGATTCGATTCGATCCAATTGGAAATGGGTTTAAAATTAAAACTGCCCGGATACTTTATGGTGTAAGAATGTCTTTATTGCACGGTATTTAAGAAAGGTCTTTACTGAGGTTTATATTAGGTCTACCGGAAAGTTCTGTCCGTTTTTTTTTATTTGAAATATAACAGAATTTTCATACATTTGATAATATTTATTGTAGAATATACTTTCCATCGTTACTTATGACTTCTTGCCAGCGCGATGGCAACTTGTAAATGCCATTTTTAAAAAATGATTTATTTTCAGAGGCGAAGAGCTCAACTAGTGCTTGCTTGACATCAGCTTCAGTTTTAAAATTTTTTTTCCTGTAAAAAGTTTTGCAAAGGGAGAAACAAGTGATAATCGGAGGGTGCTAGGTCTGGGGAGTATGGTGGATGCGACAGAATTTCCCAGCCTAGCTCTGCGATTTTCTGACGAGTCGCCAAAGCAGCATGTGGTCTGGCATTAT